TTTAGCGGTTCAAGGCAGTTTGATCCTGAGCTACCTATTTGGAGACCATCCGAGTGGTCGTCTTTTCCTCGTAGGCACCACTTTCATTAGTGTATGCGTTATAGGTGTCGGGCAACAAGCGACCATGCAGTGATTTCTTTGCAAACGCATTATTTTTTTAAAAGATTAAATTTAGGACATGGAATTTTATTAATTTGTCCATATAATGCTAGCTGAAAACCATTCCAGCAACCACTGTCGACTTGCTATTCTGCAATGCGAGCACTGAAACTATCAAGAGATTACGCCGAAAGTTTGAAGATGGCTGTAAAGAAAAGAAAACGAGAATCTGCTGCATTTTTCCCATCGGTATTTGTCATTTACTGATTCAGTGTCTTACACTGCATGTTACAAATCGATGAATGCCCACGCGTTTGTCTTTGATCAGCAAAGTCTGGGCTGTTGATATAGAATCCTCGTTCTGCTGGAAATGCAACCAACCATTTGTTCAGCATAGCTGAACAAAATTTTTGTCTCTTTGTGTTCTGTCGGCGCTTCCAAAATTATGTTTGGATAACTAGTCTCAGAACAAATAATTCAAGGAATCGAAAATTCCTGACGTCCGAATCTCCCGAACATGCACAGGCGAATCCGGGGCAGCTGCTTAAAGGGGGAGGGAGTGGGGCTGCTAGCTGTGACAACCGAGGGAGGGATCCTACTCATGTATTATCCTCCCGTTTTAAAAATTTCGCTCATACGCGCCTAGATCTCGTGTACGGACCTTTGGGGGAAAAGATTTCGCGAATCAGGCAAGATACAAAGCTGAAAGTTTGCAGGGATATTCTGTGTGCACGTGCGAGCTAAAGGTTTCAAATTCAGCTGTCGCGGATGTTTGTGCAGCGCGTACGATCACATCAAAATTGACACTTGGCACTGCCCTAACTCGAAAACTAGCTGGGAAATAGTGGCTGAAATTTTGTCAGCATGCTTATCGCTCGTATAGGAAAACGTATATCTAAAATAAGTTTCGATTTGGACTTGCGCCGCGACTTAGGGCACTTCAAAGATATTTGTAGAGATTTGTAGCGAAGTAGCTATTTCGCTTACCGGATAAGATGCGCAGCTGAAAATTCGCTGGGATATTCTACTTTCAGATGCGGTCTTAATTCTGCTTGTGAACATTACAAATACTCAACTTTATCAAGAACTCAGAAACGAGTGTATTTTACAATGAACGACCGCCTCATCTCCCAACACCCAGTTCATTTATATATTTGGATTTTTTGACGAACGACCGCTCTACAACATTCTCACTTTTCAGTGAATTGGAAATCTGCATTTTTTCGAAGAGCGAGCATTTACCAGAAAAACGACCGGGTTTCATTCAGAAAATTGCTAATCATGTAGCTGGAGGTCCATGCAGCCTTATAATGTAACACCATCCCAACTGATGCCCTTTCTCCTGCATGCCGGAAAAGGCCGAAGCACGGCCAGCATGAGCCCAAGCGTTAGGCTACAGTACAGGGATCATTCCTGTTATTAGCGATTTGCGAGTTTAGTGCAAAAACGCATGATCGCATTGGCAAACCTGATGCGTTCCAGCCCCCTGAATTGTATTTTTATTTCGTCTTTGATATTTCTGCTCACTTGTGGGCTTCCGGACACGGCTGAAGCTGTGAAGTTGGGCGCACACGGTAAGTGTAAGGCAATACCGTTCATATTGTTAACGACCTAATTGCTTCAAGTATAGCGCAAAAATGCATGATCGCACCGACAACGTGGTGCGTCTTAGCCTAAAGTAGTTATCTTCTTTGTTGCCATTCAATTTGTTTCTCTGGAAAGACTCAGTGAAATAACGATGTGAACTCGCCGATAAGATTATGGTGAAATCATGTGCAGGACGTATTGAAAGAGCAGTGACACAGGCACTGGAAATGATTATTGCATGTTAGGGAGCAGAATATCTATAATGAGCTAAAAGACGAGGAGGTAAAATAACAATTCGTGTGTTGCGGATTTCATTCACATCGAATTTGGTTTCTAGCTTAAGTTTTGTAGCTTGCGATCTTAAAGGGCTGAACGGTTTTTTGGCGCAGTGTTCTCGGTGGCATAACTCTGAGTGAACTCAGTTGTAGCCGGTGAAATTTTCCACATTTTGTTTGTAACACTAAATCGTCTGTAAATTCCATTGTTCTGGCATTGCAATTTACGAAGCTGGGAGGCCTGTGGTGGTCGAGATCACTGGGTTTTGTTGTTTATTGGAATTCAGCTGTGTTCTCGGTTTCAGGGTTCAGGCTCCGATTCGGATCAAATAGCAAACGAGCAACTGAAGCGATCTACGTCCTCAGCTTCATCATCTCCATCTTATGCACGTTACGGCTCGTCATCAATGACCAGCCAGCTGTTGAATGTTGTCAACAGATCAATTCAGGAGACCCCATGGGAACAGCGACTCGACAATATGGTTTGTTATTTCAGCATCCAAATTGTTACTTTTTTCTGGCAAATATCACTCTCGGATTTGCACTATTAAGCGATTTCCCACAAAACAAGCAGCACGCGTATCCACTAGTTTTTAATTCAGCCATGATTATTTGCAGAATCGAGTAGGAATATCTGGTTCGGCTGTTAATTCATTGAGACCCAGAATATCTTTGCAACTAGCAGTTTTTTTT